CTACAATTCTAAAGAAGGAAGCGTTTTGGCAGTCTGTTTTCAGGTTCTACGTTGAGGGAATCGCGCAAGGATGACAAAGTAGTTCTCTGCAGTCACTGCAACGGTTCTGACAGCTAGCTGTTCATTTATAAACAAATGTACCGTAAAAGCAGTCAAATACAGTATCGACGCTTTGACACGACGTAAAATATTGGCTAATTAATTGTGATAAGCCAGTATGTTGCTCAGTGCTGAGTAGATCATTTACCCTGCCTTTTTGTTTCCAAAAAGCTAGAACTTTTCATGGTCGACAATTGTGTCCGGCCAACATTTACCTAACTGTGCAAAGACTACTTCGCAATATAAAAGCTAAAACTTCTGAATATAATTATATCTAATCAGGCAATATAGGTGTGTGCTTGAAAATGTACGCAGACACTCTGTCTTTTCCTACGAGGATATACCGTGTAACGGATAGATTTTCTCTCGTTGTAGACGAATATGCGGGTGACTTCACGAATCCTTTCTTTCAGGTCTGATGCACACAATGTCGAAAAATTTTTCTTTTCTTTGGTGTAAGTCCTGTGAATAATTCTGATCACTTTAGTGTCAAAATGTTCTAAGCAGTCTCATCCCCTTTAAACCGTAATGACCACTTGGAATTAATGAGTGTGTTAACAAGATACGAGGAAGAAACGATCGAGGATATTAGTTCCATACTTTCAGTGAAAATGGAAGCTTAACCCTAGCACGCTGAATTGTATTCTCTAAATAGTGCAGAGGCTTTGCAAAAATGTGAAAGCATTAAAGCTGCAGAGTCATCTCCTGCGGAAATTTGCTTCCAAGGAACAAACATTTTTACTTATATTGGAATGATTTCAGGAGCCACTGAGGTAAACAGAAGAAAACAGCGTAGTAAATATGGTTGATTGGCAATGAATAGTGACGAGCAATAACCATGGAAACTACAGAGTAGATATGCAATACGTAAGACTTTACCTCCGTAGACCATCAGCCTCGCATCTCACGAATTGAAATTCCCACGATGAAGAAGTCAAGAGAAGGGGGAGAACTGAAGTAGTTCAGTGGTATGAGAAAACAAAATACATTCGAAATGCATTCTGCGATACTCACTAACAGTCACTCCAGATTTAGTCACTGCCATCCTTTATTCAGAAACAGAAAACAAGTGCGATACAGTGCTTCATG